ATAAGGGGCGGGGCTCAGTCATGTAGGAGTTGGGGCCTCTGGGAGGCTTCCCTTTCTCTGAGATGAGAAGTTAGTGAAGGGGTTGAGCACAGGAGTGGTGATCTGATCATCACTTTTAAAAGGCTCCTTTGGCAGGAAATCATACCTCATAACTTCCTACTCAAGTGTGAGCTGAACATAGTGACTTTCAAAGACTATGGTATGGATCCAGGAGGCAGAAAGTAACAGTGGAGAAACCTGACAAACAGAGCCTTAGCCAGGTGACTAAGATCAATATCAACAGATGTAAGCCATGTTGTATGCACGGTGGATATGATGTGATGATAGTGATACTTCACCTCTGTGGTCTTCCAACAACCTGTAACTATAGTTTCATCATGAGAAAAGTATCAAGCAAATTCCAATAGCGGGGCAGCCTACAAAATACCTGAGCAGTACTCCTCAAAACTCTCAAGGTATCAAAAACAAGGAAATCCTGAGAAACTGGCACAGCTGAGTGGAGCCGCAAGAGACACAAAAACTAAATCCTGGATCCAGACTGAGCACAGTGGTTCACACCTGTAATCCCAGCACTTTGGGAGGCCAAGACAGGGGGCTCGCTTGAGGCCAGGAGTTTGCAACCAGCCTGGGCAACATGGTGAGTTTCACTGCAGTCAGATGTTTTTGTGCATTGAACAACCTGTTCAACTGTACATGGTAGCCCTGCCTCTGTCCCGCTTCTAAATGGGGAAGGGTGGGTGGGTAGAACAGCTCTAGATCCCCAGGAATAGATTATTCCTAGATGATTTCTACGGCTCCCCCACCATTTCTTCTCTCTGGACTTTAGTTTCCCCATTTGTAAAATGCGGGAGTCAGACTGGATCAAAGTATATCTTGAGGGGGATACTTAGAGCCCCCAGAGACTTGGGGGCCCCTGGGAGGCTTCCCTTTCTCTGAGATGAGAGAAGGCCCGAGGCCCCCCCAGGTCCAGTTTAGCAGATCTCCCCTTTGGATATCGTGGACTTCTGCCAGGCCCCTTTTAGGAAGTTTCTGCTACTAAACCATCATTTGTAAACAGCTGGATCAGATGATCTCTAGCATCCTTCTGGCTCCTACTGGCTTGACCCTCAGGCCACCTTCCTCCCTCCTGCTGTGCCTTTGCCTCCCACCTCTCCTGTAAGGTGGTGCAGGGAAAGGGTACTGAGGCCAGGCTTCCATCCTGGCTGTTCACAGGACCCAGGTCCTCACCCGTCACTGACCTCCGCAGTCAGCTGGTGGCCAGGAGCTCTGGTCACTGCCATCGCCACAGTTGTCCATGCCCCAGCGATCACACACCAGGCTTGGAGGGATGCACCTGCCATTCCCACAGTGGAAGTAGGCACCACAAGGTCCTGAAGTGGAAGAGGGAAGCCTGAGATGAAGATTGTGGATCCAGGCATGCATCCCTATCATGACAAAATGTGGAAGGTGTGGGTAGAGAGAGCCGTTATCACAGACAGGAATGTGGATGAGTGTCTCCTGGGCAGGAAGGGTCCTATCATAAGGAGGATCACTTAAGTCCCAGAGTTTGAAGTTGCAGTGAGCTATGATCACTCCACTGCACTCCAGCCTGGGCAACAAAGTGAGACCTTATCTCTAAAAATAAATAAATTGGCTGGGTGCAGTGGCTCACACCTGTAATTCTAGCACTCTGGGAGGCTGAGGCGGGTAGATTGCTTGATGTTCAAGACTGACCTGAGCAAGATCGAGACAGCTTGAGCAAGAGTGAGACCCTATCTCTACTAAAAACAGAAAAGCTGAGGCAAGAGGATCGTTTGAGCCCAAGAGTTGGAAGTTGCTGTGAGCTATGATGACACCATGGCACTCTACCCAGGGTGACAGCTTGAGACTCTGTCTTAAATAAATAAATAAATAAAGACATTTAGGTGTAAAAGAAGTGTCTATGAGAGAAAAAACACAGACAGTAGCATGGTAACATACAGGGAGTCCTAAGTGCATGCACAGACAGGCAGGGTATGCCTGTAATGTGATTGACAGACTGCACGTGGCCCGAGGATGTGTAGTGAACCTTCCCTCATTGAAAATGATTCAAGGAAGCCAGAGTTACAAGAGGGTTTCATCACTGCCACTTTCTTTTTGGAGCCCAATCCTGCTAAACACAGAGAAGCTACAACACTCTTGGCCTCCCGGCCTGACAATTGCACCTCCTAGGAGGCCAAAGCCACATAGAGAGAGAGGAAAAAAGGACAAGAGGAAAGTTGGCAATGATTTCTAATCAGCTAGTGAGAGTGTTTGGAAAGCAACATAAATAGGAATCCTGGCACCATCAGTTATGGCCCCAATGATTTAGGGTACAAATTTCCTATAGTTTATTTCAGAGCCACAGACTCTAATAAGGGAAAAGAGAGAGAGTCTAAAATCCAAAATTCAGACCATGCACTATTCCAGGGAAGAAGGGTGAGACTTGACTGAAGAGAAACAGTCGCTGGAATGGAAGCTCTCTGACCAGCTCAGGGCTGTCCAAGGCCTAGTACTCCAAGGTCTAGTTCTTGGTGAACCTGTGGTGGCTCTCAGAGACTCTCATGTTGTTGACTTAAATGGCTCACAATCCCATGTTTAAATCTCTAGTCTGAATATTCTGCCAGGAATCACGATAAAACTTCCCTGTGGTTTTAGAATCTCTGGGCTTTGGCAGTTCATTTACTTGCCATTACTGGAGACAGCTTCATGTGACACCACCAAGTCACTCTAATTCTTGGTGGAACTCCCTGGGGCCAAAGCCTTGAACTCAATTCAGCTGCAGGACACACACTAGCATTAGAGTCCAGCCACTTTGCTTACCAGCTGGAGACAGCCTCCTCTGTGACACCACCAAGTGGCTCCAATTCTAGGGGAACTCCCTGGGGCTAAAGCCTTGAACTCAATTCAGCTGCAGGACACCCACTAGCATTAAAGTCCAGCCACTTTGCTTACCAGCTGAGAGGCCTTGGGCCCTTAACCTCTGGGAGCTTGTTTCCCCACTATGAATATCAGAGTATGAACGCTGACCCAGCAGAACTGCTGAGAGGTACGGATGAGATGTGGCGTGAGATGTGGTGTGCAAAGGACCAAAGGCAATGCTTAATAAGCAAATATGATTCATGTCAGTTCCCAAAGTTCCCTCTCCTTGCTAAGGGGGCTGCTGTTACTAACAGTCCTGAGTGTCCTAACCATGCCCTTCTGCAAACACCTGAAGGGCTGACCTGGGACTGAAGAGCTCTTATGAACTTGATAATGTGTTGTGTGTAGGTGTGCAAGGTGGTACTGTGTGTGCATGAGTTGTATGTGATGTGAATTGTGTTCAAGTATACAGAGTGTGAGAGCATGTGAGGGGTGTGTGTGTGTGTACAAGGTTGTAGGTTATGTGGATGTGATGTGAGTGAGTGTATGGGTGTCAGAGTGAGTTGTGTGTGTGTGTGTGTGTGTGTGTGTGAACACCAGGGCAGTCTGGCCTGCAGATCCCTGGTAGCCAGATTTATGGGGTTGGCTCTTTGGGCCTGGGGAACACCTGTCCCTTACTGGGTCCCTCCAGCAGTCACCATCCCTCCACTCTGTAGGCCCCAGCCTCTCCACCACTTCTTGATCTCCCTGTGCCCCACTATTCCCCTGCTGCCAGCCCCTGCGCTGCATCCCCACTGTGGCCCTGTCCTGACTATCAGCCTCAACTCACCTAACCGGAAAGAGGTGACCTCACCCACGAAGTCCACGCGAGGCTGGCGACCTCTAGTGACCAGGCGCAGTCCTAGGAAAGGTCCAGAGGACACCACGGGGATGGGAATGGTCAGGCCACAAACAGGGGCTCCCAGGGCCCGGGGCGCCCCCGGCGGGCCCTCGTAGAACTGCAGGAAAGAGCCGGGGGCGCACGGGTCGGCCGAAGGGCTGGGTGCCGGTGGCGGCGGGGACGCTGGGGTCAGGCTGTAGACCAGGAAGAAGCGGAACTGGAAGCGGATCCTGTCGCCAGGGGCCGCCGCCTCTAGCCAGAGCCCGCAATCGGTGTCCGGAACCACAAAGTAGAATCTGCGGGACGCAGAATGCAAGCGCAGCAGCAGCCCGTCCCCCTGCCACGTCTGCCCGCACAGGGCCACCAGGTCGGCTGCAGCGAAAATCACGGACCCTGGAGCTACACAGCGAAATCCCAAACCTGTCTCTGCCCCCTGCCCGCTGTGTAACCCCCCCCCAGCAAGTCTCTCGCCCTCTCTGAGCCTCAGTTTCCTCATCGACAAACGGAGATGTGAAGCAATCTCAGAATTTTTATGACAAATGATTTTTATTTTATTCAAATCCACAATCCTGTTCAAAAGGCCTAAGACGTGTTTCAGAATTTTCCAGATTTCAGAAAGAGGATATGTACATATTATATATACAGCATATTGTATTGCAGCCCCAAATAGAGTGTACAGAGACTCTCTAAGATAAAACACATTGTCTAGATAGCAATCGTCAGAACACTTATCCTTAGTGAGGTAAATAAAGAATAAACAGTCTCCTCTCAGTTCAGGTCAAGTGTTACCAACAAATTAGTTAACAACAAATTTTGGTTTTCAGAGCTCTTTGTATTTTAGAATTGCAAATAAAATATTATAGACAGATAGGTGTACAGGCCTTAGGACAGTGCCTGGCATTTAGTGTTGTAGAAGTGTTAGCTACTATTACAGTAATAGCCCCCGTTTGTGTGAGTTGGATGTAAGTTGGATGTATGTAACTTGAGGACTGCCTGTACTCTCTTATTCAAGGATGGAGTAGACCAATTTGGGTTCCTGCCCACCCAAGAGCCATTCCTTGTTTTTTCTTGCTAAAGAAGCCTTGTATCCTAATTTTATCTATCAGGTTTAGGGATTGTGTGACTCAGTGGTTCAGGCCAATGAGACTTAACAAGAGGTCTGCTGGGAGTTCCTAGCTAAGTTTACCTCCCTGATTTAAAAAAAGAGAGAGAGGAGGGGGCTGAAGAGAGCTGGCAGTGGCACACACCTGTAAATCCTAGGACTCTGGGAGTTCAAGCCAAGAGGATCCCTTGAGCTTAGGACTTTGAGACCAGCCTGAGCAAGAGCAAAACCCTACTAAAAATAGAAAAACCTGCTAGGCGTGTGGCAGGCCCCTGTGGTCCTAGCTACTAGGGAGGCTGAGGCAGGAGGATTTATCTGGATCCAGGAGTTTGAGGTTGCTGTGAGCAAGACTTATGCCATGGCACTCTAGCCTGGGCAACAGAGAGTGAGAATCTGTCAAAAAAAAAATAAAAAATAGGCTCAGCACCTATGGCTCAAGCAGCTAAGGCACCAGCCACATACACCTGAGCTAGTGGGTTCAAATCCGGCCCAGGCCTCCCAAACAACAATGATGGCTGCGCAACCAAAAAAAAAATAAATGAATAAAACATAAAAAATAAAATAAAAGGAAGTGTGTGTGGAGAGCTGTCTGATAAGGAGCCTGTTTTTCTTCCTGCTTTTGAAATCCGTGGCTGAGGGTGAGATATCCAATGCTGCAGCAGCCATCTCGAGAGTGTGAGGTCATGAGCATTACAGAGAAACACAACTGATGTAGCTGAGCTGCTGAATTAACATTCTCTGGAATCACCTATGGCCATGCTTCTTAGGTGAAATAATAAATGCTGTTAGGGTTTAAGTCCCATTTAGTTTGGTGTTTGTTACTTATAGCCCAAAATATCCTTAGTACTACAAGGTTGTTGTGAGCATTAAATAAGAGAAAGTGTAAGTGCTCAAAGCAAGTTTGATTGTTTTAAGGACAGAGAGCAAAGAGGAGGTAAGTTTTCTGGGTAAGGTAGGGCACTATAGGGTATTGAGGATCAGCCAGAATGTGGGTCTGTGGAGAAGAACTCCATCACAGCTCAAGATGTAAGAATATTTTTCTGTATTTGTGCAGACCTACTAAAGCCAGAGCCCACCCTGGAGACACATGGGGTAAGAGAGGGGTTTACAGAGTGAATGAAGTGAGCACCTTTTATGTGCCAGGCACTAAGTGTCTTGCATGGTCTAGTTCATCTTATATGCACACTAACAATTATCCCTTAAAGAGTAAGGGACTATTATTACTCTCATTTTACTGAAGAAACTGAGAATTGAACTAATAAACTCAAGGGTACATAGAAAGTGGCAGAGTGAGTATGTGAACGCAGGGTTGTGTGACTCCAAAGCCCACAGTATTTTCCATTGTTGAGACCTGAGGGCTGTCCTGACTATCCCTAGACCCCTACTTCTGGGCGACTTGGAGCTCTAGCCTTCCAGAGAGTTTTCCAGCCTCCTCTACCTCAAATGTCCTGGCCTATTAGATTAACTCCTGATTAGGGAAATACAACCTCTCAGGGTGGTGGGGCCTCGAGCCTCCTGGGTGCCCCAGCCAAGCCCCCTCATACTCACCTGTCTCCAGAGCAGACACAGTCAGGGCAGCTGCCCCTAGCAGGAGCAGCCTTTGGGGCAGCTGCCAAAGATGAGCCTCCATCCAGGCTCTGCTGTGCCCACCAATGGTGCAGACCCACAGAATCTTCAGTTTTGAGGTCTCTGGGGGAGATTCAAGGACCAGGAGAGGCAAGTCTGCCAGCTCCTTTGGTTTCTTCACTATGATCTTTGTGCTTTCTGTTCCAGATCTTCCTCCTTTGGATCAGAATTGTGTCCAGGGGTTGCTATGGAGATTTGGAGCCAGGGCTGGAGCCTGGAGAGAGAAGGCAGGGAGGATGTCTGCTTATACCCTGCCAGACAGGAACCAGGCAACTCAGATCCGGGTTAGCCGCAGGGCTCTGGGCAAGCCACAGCCCGAGAGAGCTGGTGCCCTTCTAAACACATTGGCACCTTAGGGACTGAGCTTGAAGTTGATCCAAGACACCAAAGGAGCCTCTCTTCCAGGGTGGGCCTACAGAGACAGCCAACTGGACCCTGAGTCTGCTCAAGGCCTTTGCACTCACAGTCCCCTCTGCCTGGAATGCTCTTCTCCCATAGTGGTCCGTGGCTGGCTTCTTTAGGTCATCAGGCTGCGACTCACATGTTACCTCCCTACACCAGGCTTCTCTGACCATCTTTTCAATCTAAATTAGCCCTCTCCCCCCCGTCATTCAATCACATCTCCCAGAATTTATCATCTCAGCACTCTGGAATTATTGCCCATATTGATTTCTTGTTGTATATACCTCCATTGGCTCCCACTAAAATTATGTTCCATCCATGCATGGTGGCTCATGTCTATAGTCCCAGCTATTCAGGAGGCTGAGGGAGGAGGAGGCCTGAGCCCGGGAGTTCAAGGCTACAGCGAGCTGTGATTGAGTCACTGCACTCCAGCCTGGGTGACAGAATAAAATAACGTTCCATGAGTGTCTTGTTGACCTCTGAACCCTTAGGCCATAGCACTGTGCCTGGCACATAGCAGGAATCCAGGAAATAAAGAAGAATAAATGTATGTCATTGAGCAAACGAGCTCCACTTTTGTGGGTCTTACTTCTCCATATGTAAAATAAAGAGCTGGGACTAATTCAGGCTTTTTCAAAAACGTGTTATTAGTAGAACAATTTTTTTTCAGAAGGTTATCTCAAGTGGAAACTTAATACATATATAAAACAGAAACTTTTCAAGCCTCAGTATCTTCCTCTATAAAATGGAATAGTGGTAGTTCCAATTATATAGTTACACTGTAAGGATTAAGTAACTCAATACAAGTGGGGTACTTATAGTGTCTATCACATAGTGAAGTGCCTAATACATGTGACTAATACATCATGCCTAATACATGATGACTATTAATTTCATTATTATTATTATTTAAACAGAGGTCCTCCATTGTTTTAAGTGGAGCAAGGGAAGAGCTATAGCAGCCCCCAATGGTAGCCCCTGAAACACCCCCTCAAAAATCCCAGGACTCCATGAGAAGGTTAAGACTTCTGGATCGTATACTCTCTAATGCTTCTCCCCTCTGGAGCTGACATTTGGTGCGACCTTGATTTCTTACTGTGTACAATGTTCAAGGCTAGGTCCTAGGGAACTTTTGAGAATATTCTAATCTGCCCTCAGCAGGACAGTATTTATCTTGAAGCTCATGAAGTTTAAGACTTACGACCCATCCCTTGCATGGGATTACATGTTTTCATAAAATTTGCAAAAGTGAGAATGGGTATAGACTTTCAGTTTTGCACGATGAAAAATTCTAGAGATCTGTTGCACAATAATGTGAATATAATTAACACTACTGACGGCTCTGCGCCTGTGGCTCAAGCGGCTAAGGCGCCAGCCACATACACCTAAGGTGGAGGGTTTGAATCCCCAGCCCGGGCCCGCCAAACAACAATGATGGCTGCAACCAAAAAACGGCCGGGCATTGTGGCGGGCGCCTGTAGTCCCAGCTACTTGGGAGGCTGAGGCAGGAGACTCACTTGAGCCCAGTAGTTGGAGGTTGCTGTGAGCTGTGATGTACATGGCACTCTACCCAGGGGGATAGCTTGAGGCTCTGTCTAAAAAAAAAGAGTGCTCTCTTGCAGAGCCATTGTTATGATTATGTGTGATAAAGCATGTGACAAGCTTACAGCTAGTACCTGTAGTGAAATATGGAAGGATGTACAAGGTGTTCATCCCTAGTCATGAAAGGTAGGAACATTTCAGGCACAGAGCCTGGTCAAGGGGCCAAGAAATTACTGTTATTGTTAGTATCATTGTCCTTCCCACTCACTTTCTGTGCAGCATGATTTAGCCACACCAACCTGATCCCAGATTAAGCTCCTCTGTGGCTTTGACATATGCTGGGTCCTCAGCTTACAATGCATTTAAGTACAATTTCTGCATGGAAACTCCTGTGCATCCTTCAGGGCCCAACTCAAAAATATTCTCCTTTGCTGACTTCCCCCAGGTAATTCATGTTCCTATTACTATGGTTAAGGTTGCAATTTATTTAGCAACTAGGGGTTTTGTTGTTTGTTTAATCCGAAGCCCCTACCAGGCCTCTGTGAGTTCCCTGAGGGACAGGTTTTGTGGGTCCTGATGCATAAACAATGTGGAGACGTTCTTTAAAAATATGAAATTATGGGGCGGCACCTGTGGCTCAAAGGGGTAGGACGCCAGCCCCATATACCAGAGGTGGCAGGTTCAAACCCAGCCCCCACCAAAATAAATAAATAAATAAAATAAAAATAAAAAAAAATGAAATTATGAACACAAAATCAAGTTTGAGAGTGCATTTTTATTTAGAATGGGAAAAAAATCAAAACAAATTCTGAAGTTTAAAAAACTAACAAAAGACCATGCACAGTGGCTCACGCCTATAATCCCAGCACTCTGCAGGCCAAGGCAGGTGTGTTGCTTGAGCTCTGGAGTTCCAGACCAGCCTGAGCAAGAGCAAGACCCCAGTCTCTAAAAATAGCCAGGCATTGTGGTAGGTGCCTGTAGTCCCCGCCCGCTATTTGGGAGGCTGAGGCAAGAGGATCACTTGACTCCAAGAATTTGAGGTTGCTGGGTGGCGCCTGTGGCTCAAAGGAGTAGGGCAGCAGCCCCATATGCCAGAGGTGGCAGGTTGAAACCCTGCCCTGCCAAAAACTGCAAAAAAAAAGGGTGGCGCTGTGGCTCAAAGGAATAGGGTGCTGGCCCCACACGCTGGAGGTGGTGGGTTCAAACCCAGCCCTGGTCAAAAACTGCAAAAAAAAAGAATTTGAGGTTGCTGTAAGCTGTGACATCACAGCACTCTACTTAGGGTACCAAAGTGAGACTCTTTAGAAAAAATTTTAAATAAAAAAATAAACTGCCTATGGTTAGAATTTTTTTCTTTTTCTTTTTTTTTTTTTTTTAGAGATAGGGGCTTGTATCACCCAGGCTGGAGTGCAGTGGCATAATCATAGCTCACTATAACTTTGAACTCCTAGGCTTAAGTGATCTTCCTGCTTCAGTCTCCCAAGGAACTGGGATTACAGGTATGTCCCACAACACCTGGCTAGTTTTTCTCTTTTTAGTAAAAACAGAGTCTCACTATTGCTCAGGCTGGTCTTGAACTCCTGAGCTCAAGAAGTCCACCTGTCATTATCAATGATAAATTATTCTTAATTATTGAGTGCTTTACTACATGGCAGAGATTGTTTTCACGGATTGGCTCATTTATTCTTCACAATATCCCCATGAGGAAGGTACTGTTATCACCCCCATTTTATAGATGAAGAAACCAAGGCACAAAGATGTTACATGTAGGGATGTTATATAACTAGGAAGTGGGGAAGCAGGAGGAATTGTCTAAGCTGAAGTCTGAATAGAAGCTAGTAAGGAAGGAGAAGGCCAACAGTGTTCCAGGCAGAAGCAGCAGTACACAGAAGCCTAGAAGGCTTGGGGGAGTCTGTCTGTTGTCTGCTTTCACTCAGCAACATGACAAAGTGCCGCCTTCAGGTCACACTGGGCTCATGTCCCTCATACACCACATGTGGTGTTTAGGTTCCAACTATAGTGAAGGGATAGACCAGAATTTGAACTCAGGATCTGTCTTCCAAATTCATGTTTTTTCCACGACAATTATGTTAAGCAAGGTTTCGCAATATCAAGCCACATGGTGAGATAGTTCTTCCCTTTCTGATACCCATATATTTATTGGTAGAGATTTTTTTTTTCCTGACAGAGAGTCTCCCTTTGTAGCCCTTGGTAGAGTGCTGTGTTGTCACAGCTCACAGCAACCTCCAACTCTTGGGCTTAAGCGATTCTCTTGCCTCAGCCTAAGTAGCTGGGACTACAGGTGCCCACCACAATGCCTGGTTATTTTTAGAAATGCGGTCTCACTCTGGCTCAGGCTGGTCTTGAACCTGCAAGCTCAGGCAATTCACCCACCTCGGCCTCCCAAGTGCTGAGTAAAGATTGTTAATTCCCCCACAGTACAATATTCAAGGATGAAATAATGAGATCTTTACTACATTAGAAGAAAGAAGGCATAATTAGGCAAATACAAGTCCCCATAAGTCACTAGTGTTGCTAGAAGAAAAATGGAGATTAACAATAGATAAAAGAAATAAAAATAAAATACAATACATAGGCAACATAGTTGAGACTCCATCTCTATAAAAAATTAGGCCAGGTGCACGTGACTCATGACTATAATCCTAACACTTTGAGAAGCCAAGGGGAGGATCATTGAAGCCAGGAATTTAAGACCAGCCTAAACCATATAGTGAGACCTCATCTCTACAAGAATTTTTTTTTTTTTTTTTTATAAAGAGTCTATGGCTCAGCGCCTGTGGCTCAAGCAGTAAAGGAGCCAGCCACATACACCTGAGTTGGTGAATTCGAA